ACATTTAAGGCATAAAAAGATCTAAGAAATTTATTTTACAAAGTCAGGGAACGGGACAAATTCTATGATATTTTATACACAGAGAAGAAAGGCATTTTTAGAGAAAATAGAGCAAAAGTGACACTATAAAAACTTTAAATCTCTCCAAAACTGGCCAGTAATTACCTGGAGTCCAACAGTAACACTGAAAGAGCAACATGAGTTTTGCCAGGAACTGTCGTACGTGTGACAAAATGTCTCCCGTATTTCCCCTTTTCTCTGAACAAACGAGAAACCAATGAGCCACTCTTGTTCAATAAAGCCCGAGGCCCACACTGGGCCCCATTGCTGTCACTGATTGCTGTACATAAAATTTCAAAATAAAGATTTTTTTTCTAAATACATATGAGTAAATATTTATTCACAGTCATTTTTAAATGCCTGCTGTGTTTGTGAAGCACATTACTGAGACCTTGTGGGGTTGCTGAATTGTTACTTTGGAGGTTAATATTTTTCTGGATATTTTTTTTTTCTTTAGGCTTAAATTAAAACTGATCAGAAATTAACAAATTTATATTCCGGCTTTGTTTAGTAGTACAGTTTAGTAGTAATCTTCTGTCTACTGTTGAAACCTAAATTTTGAGTGTTCCTCTAATTTTTCCAACGCTCGCCAGTCTCCTGATCTTTTTTCCTTCATGCTTAGTTCACTGATATATGGAAAGAATAGAAGCAGCTGGGGATCAGATTGTTGTTGTAAGTGGACTACCCCAAAATATAGCTTGAACCACAGCTTTCTAAATACAGTAGAAGTCAGTGATGCTAATCTGTAATTGTCCCTCCAGTAACTAAAAATATAACAAACAATCCCATCAGAACAGCGCCCCTCCTGCAACTCCAATCAGACTGTGTGGGTTTTCTGATGGGTCACAGAGTTTACTCTGACATAAATTCACATTCATTTCATTATAGCTTATTTATATAGCAAGAATTTGAAAAAAAAAAAAAGTCAACCAGAGGTGCTTTACATAACAATCACATCCATTTCATGAACAGAAACATACAGTTATCTCAATCAAATCATTCATACAAGTTTCAAAGTTCAATCAGTGCCAGCAAGTTTGCAGCAATTCCTCCTGATTGAGCACATAGCAACAGTACATAGTTGACCACATCAAGCTGTTTCCTTGCAGAAATCTTTTAAACATGCATGTGACATCAGTGGAAAAAAAACAAAAACAGGAATAAACCCTGAGTAGAACCTAAGAAAGTCATACTGGATTCTTGGAAAAGTTTTGTATAAAAATACTTTTATCCAAAATATGTAGGCTGTCTTTCAAATTGGTTGTGTTGATTCCGGACGTTTATCTATATTTAGGTTGATATATTGCTGCACATATCCAACAAGGACGCAGTTAGAAAAAGAACATAAAGAAAAATACAAAATTTCATGAAGCATTCATCAATTTTCAATACCCAGTTAATTCTGTTGAGAATTATATAAATCTGAGAATTGAATAACTCTGCTGTCTACCATCAGCAAATTAAGATCAACGATGCACCAACTCCAGAACCAGTTTGTTTGTAGGAAACAGCCGTTCTAAATGTTGAAGAATTATCAGACCCACATAAAGCAGTTAAGCATAATTTTCCTGAAAGTTTTCCATGCAAAGACCTGATTGAGACTCTTTAATCAACACTTTTGTTTTCTCAAGGGCCTGAAAGGATGTGACACTCCAGCAAACAGCTGAGGGGTTCTGCAGCCAGCGACACAGACAGATGAGCCATTCAGGGAGAGACCACAGCCTCCAAAGCTGCGTGTTCACCCACTCACTCCCAACTGTACTCAACAAGCAGAGAAATCCACATTTATGATGCCATCACCAGGTGATTTTAAAGCACCTAAAAAGTTTTTTAAGTCACAAAGACAATTACATGTATCCTCAAAGCAATATTCATTAGATTATTTCTCTAAGTTCTTAAATTAAATCATTTAGAGGATTTTTAGCTCCTCTAAAAATTAAAGAAAGTTTATCTAATTAAAACTGTGGCTGTGAACAGGATGACTGCAGAAAACATATTCTTTGTAATTTTTTCCCAGCATAATATTCTGTTAAATATTTTCTCTGACTTTCAGGAGCCTTCAGTCTCTTTGACTCTGTGTCATTCTGTCACATTTTCGCTCATTCACATGCACAAATTGCACTTTGTTATTCAGAACTTTTGTTTCCCGTCTCCTGAGAGCATACTCCCATCTCGCCAGAGCTCGTCTTTCCTTTTTTATCTGTAAACTCTCAATGACTCCGCTGATCTTTTCTAAGCTTATTTAATGTGGCAGACACTAGATGTCAGTTTTGCGGAGCTATTTGACGTCTCCAAGATTACGTTGTGAACCAAAAGGCTGAAATTAACTGTGAAGAGTTTGTGTTAATGGTCCCATGAGAACGTTGCCAAAGCAACAAACAACTGAGATCAGAATAATAAGTAAAGCATAAAATGACCTAAATTCAAACTGGCAAATCATCAAATGATGGCACAGCTTCCAAATCAGTTTCCATCTTGAAAAAACAAATCCTTCTATTATTGGGATCTGAAACCGCCACAGACTGGACCTTTTTGTGCCTTATTGCAATGATGCTTTGCCTGAAAATTAAAAAAAAAAGTTAACATAAATCATTGAGATGGTTTGGGGGAAGGCCAGCTGTGCAGCTGCAATGCAGATATGCTCTGCAATCCAATGAAGTGGAGATGAATTGAAAACAGTGAATAAAGGTCAGCTGTTTGATGGGTTGGAGTGCTGTTGCACTTCAAAGCCTTGCGTCATCTGCCCTGACTACGCTATTCTTTAATGAACCCACTATCTTCCTTGCGTTCTTATGTTGCAGTCATGGATTAAAACATGAAATGAAGAAATCTACAAAGTCTTTGCTCCGTGTGCTGGTTGTATGGAAAACAAGAACTGGATTCTTTTGGGACGGATGTTTGGCTGGTTTCTGAACTGAGAATTCCATTTTTATTCAAATAAACACAACAAATGAATACAATACTAACTTTTTACTTCAGTTAAAATGGAGGCGAAAGCATGTTTATGCTGACTCTCTTCGTGAAGAGCTGTTTCTGTCAAACGTTTCACACAGAAACATAAAGCAGGTGTGAAGAAAATTTAAGAATACATTGTCTACAAAACATTTTAGTTCATTTGAGGAGCTCTGTTTGTTCTGTATAAACCCATAAAGAACATATTTGAATATTCAGCTCATAAACTGGTCCTTAGTACTATTTAGCTGAGCAGAACTTACTTAATGATAGGCATTATTATTATTATTTTGATGTTACATCTTGTATGAATTCAAGGAAGAAGGACAATGAACAATTTAGAATGCAATCTTTAGTCTTTATGTAAACTTAATGTTTCCAGCTCTGTAAAGATGTGCTAAAAAGAAAGCATTTAAACATTTTTAATCCCACTTTCCTTCCCTACCTGATCTTTGTACATGATTTAATATTAAATGGATAAATCTAGAATCAAATCAAAAAATAGAATAGAACAAAGAGCCTGGAAATAAAAATATATATTAAAAGAATATGGTGCTGTCATTCATCCTTTAGGCTTAAAAACAGACACACTATTTATCTGTTTAACAGCCACTAAAGGAGCTGCTGCCATTAATTCTTAACTCTTTCCTCAATATAGAAAGGACACCAATTTCAGCAGTAAATTGCTTCTGCTGGAGGTTTCTTCCTGCTAAAGGGACTTCTTCCTTTCTGCTGTCAGTGTGAGGGATTGCTGTAAAGCCAGCAGCACAAAACACAAGTGACTGTCGACTGTCTTTTCAACTAATTTGAATGATAAACTGAATGGGGCTGCATTGTTTAATAATAGGAACAATTTGTCTTATTAAGATTTGAGTTATTTTTAGAATGAAGAGATAATTAGGAAGCACACTTTGTACACGTTCAGTTTATATTTAGCTCTCCAGTTCTTTGTTGATTAAATGTTTCACATATTGTTTGTCATGCTGTGATCATTATGTTGTTTTGTTTACACCCTAAACCAAAATCCATAAAGAGCAGAACATCAGGAATAAATAAGGAACTGAACACAGACGAATAAAGTGTGATGGCAAGAACCTAATAACAATAACAAAATAACTGAGAGGTCAGAATACAAACACAAGTGAGAACCAAAAACACAAAGAGCTGTGGCTCATGACAATAAATGAGCCATGTTGTTATTTTTTTATTATTATTTTACAATTGGCTTCAAAAAACAAAAGATGGTCATCTGAGTCACATTTTATAGCAAAACATAAAATAAAACACCAGTCAAAAACAAATGAGTTGACATTTTAATTTATCAGTATTGTCTTCAAAATCAAAGGGAAAACAAAATAGAAAAAAGGTCAGTATTTTTTATTTTATTTTATTTTTTTATGGCAGGCCCAACCATAGTACACTGCAACTGTAGGATATTCTGTTTCTTCTGTCTGAACTATTTGTAAAAGTAGTTCTATTTTCAACTTTTAAAATAGAAGATAGAACTAATGTAATATTTACATTTTCAATCAAATTTGAGGAGGAATATATATGTTAAATTTTTCATCATTTAATGTGAACCTTTCTGCGGAAACCCAAGTGACGTCACGGGGTGAATAATATTTTGGTAGTGAAGTTGGATGTGGAGGACGTCGGAATTAGAGAAAAACGGGTCATTTTTTATTTATTATTATTCCTTGCTGGCGAGTTTATATTTTCATTATTTTGAAAATGAGACGTAAGCAAAGGAAATTCAAACTACTGCTCAGCTGTTTATGACCACCGTCGTCTAATTAGTTTTAATACGTTGTGTAAACCAAAAATCATGTAGTCGCTTTTGTTGCTCAGTAACGGTTTCTGACAAGGAAATCCAGTTAGCAAAACATGAATTTTTTTTTTTTTTTTAAGGAAATGTTACATCAAAACAAACAAACAAAAATGTTTTCTAATGTGTTTACAGTTAATTTCACTGGAGCCGTTTGTTCGATTGTTGTTTTTCGCAGCAACAGTGAACGCGTCACGGGCCCCTGATCCATTGATCGAGAGATCCAGGCGCCGGTGGGACTCCTTACTGTTTCCACGCCTCCTACTTTCACTCCCATTGTGGTGAATCTCCGGCTCTCACACACTTTGCCAGACTTCCAGGAGTTGGAACGACGACTAGAGGAGGGAGCAACGCTGTGAAAGAAAGAAAAGGGAAAACCAGCATAAACACATCTACTTTTCCGCATGGATATCCCTCGCTCTCCCCGGGGGACGTAAAGGAGGCGCGATGGTTTGCATTGCTGGGAGTACTTGAGGTTCTTGCCGGGGAGAAAGCACACTCGTACTCTCCGCTGGAAAGTTGTAAAAAGAAGTTCCCTTGAAGTTCTTGTTTGTTTGTTTGTTTGTTTGTTTTCCACCACCAGTTCAGTTCACACGCAGTGTTTCCTCCAGCGCTGTAAACCTCCTGCCATCATGGCGAGGCGGACTGCGGAGGCTCAGACGCCGAGGACTCGCGCTGCTTTCCGGGATAAACACCTTCCCCTCCGCGGCGGCTCGGTGGCTTTTTCGTGGCGCCTCGCTTTGATTTGCTCGGCTCTCTCTTGTGGATACTGCGGAGCCGAGACGGAGTTTTCCATCCTGGAAGAAGCGCAAGTTTTGGCGGAGCAAATGAAAAAGCTGTCCTCACAGGAGCTGGGAGTTTTCACGATGCAGGTAATGAAATAGTTGCATTTTATTCACGTTTTGACCCTTACTTGGAGGCCTGCACCTGAAATACTCTAGACAGAAGAATCGTGTCGAGAAAAACATTGGGGTGTTATGAAACAAAATGCTGTGGCGTTGCAGCGCGAAAGAAATGCTTTGAAGTTTGGGTTCATTAATGTGGAGCATCAGCACGCGGTCCTCCGATAAATCTTGATAAGGAATTACATCAGGAGACATTAACTAATTATGTGCAGACGGGACCCTATAATCAAGGTTAACAGGCTGTATCTCAGAGCTGATTCATATGTCTCTGCAATGCACTTAATTTTTTTTTTTTTTTTTTGAGGGGTTCTAAATGCAGCATTCACAGATCAGTCAGTAAAAATATCCTCGTTTTCTTTTTATTTCTTGCGGATAATTAAATCACAGATAAAGCCTTTCGCCCCCAAGAGAGTCATCTAAAGTTCCTGTAGATGTGTTAATTGTTGAAGTGCACCGATCAGTTGGTTAAGAAATGGGCCAGTTATTTCTTAAATCTATTTTAATCACTGACAGCACAGATGGTTTATGTGGTCTTATACACCCTTTGGAGTTTGATAAACATCAGATAAAGGTTGTTTTGCAGTAAAAAAAATAAAATCAGAAAATGTTCTGTGAATGAACAGATCAACAGAATGCTGCTTTTAAGGCAGTTCTGCATACAGTTGGTTTAAACAGGCAATTGTTGATGACAGCTTTTAGAGATGCACCAATCCTGCTTTTTTATGGTTTTACCAATTTCTAGTTTCCTTTATGGTGTAACATAGCTATTCAGATTAAATTTTCCCCCTAAGAACTATAAAAGCCCCAAAATGAAAAAAAAAAAGTGTAGTTTCTGAGAGCAAGAGAGGTTTTAATTTTGGAATCAGGGGAAAATTCTCACTATTTTGCATCAAAATCTACTGAACTGATTAGTTTGGGGGTTTTGCTTTGCAGCAAATTGCAAATAAGTAAATGATTTCAGAATAAGAGGGAATTTCTTAACTCTTTTCTCTTTGAGATGCACTGCTGGATTGGGTTTTCCGGGGTTCTTCACAGCGTGACATGTTATTTGCCAGAGTCTGACCAATTTAAAGTATTTTATAAAACATGAAGAGGAACAAATGCACTCGATGATCCATTTCTAGAGAAGAAAGTGAGAGATTTACAAGTTTATCTCCATTTACATATTTATATACCCTGTCATGTCCATCCATGCAATGTGTCCCTAACCTTTGTCAGATTTATTTATTTTTTTTAATTTATTTTGCTAAACTTAAAACTAAAATGCACCAGAGAATAGCTTGGTGGTGTGTTCATTGACTGCAAATGGTGGGATTTCTTATTTTTGATGCATTTAATGACTAGTGGGGGCTGCTGGTGATTGATCCACCGAACAAGGGAAAATCACCTGATTTCGATTTTCAGCCAATAAGTTGATGCATTTAATTTTCCTCAACTCTTCCCACTAATGAGGAGGATTTTATGTTCCAGTTGTAACTAATTAGAAGCAGACAGAATGAACACCTTTAAATCCATACCCTGTCATGTCCATCCATGCAGAGTCCCTTAAACACACCAAATGGCAGGGTGCAGGGGTGGTGGTTGCTTCAGGGAGGGGAAGGGGGATGAGGGGTGTTTTGCACTTCAGAGGCAGAGGAGCTCACAGGCCTGGAGCACAGAGGCAAGGCAGCGGGGGGGCCGAGGCCCCAAACGCTGTTTCATCTCCTCTGCCTCCACACTGAGCCGCCTTCATCCCAGCACCGGGAGTCGGCTTTGAGGGCTTCCTCTGATCCCGGCAGATCCACCGTTGTCACTGCTCATCCCCTCCCAGAGCCCCAGTTTGTGCTCGCTCTCTTTCTTGCTCTTATTTCTATTGCTTTGTCTCGGCATTATTCCTGTTTTTCTGCCTGCAAACGCAGAGAATTAATGGCTGCTTATGTTTTTTTTTTTTTCCCCTCTCTCTCAAATGACTGGAAAACCGTTCTGTTGACTACAAAGATGTAATTAATTAGAAGTAATTTTAGCTTTTGTCAGTCTCACTTTAAACTTTTATGACTGATTTAATATTCATACCAAAAGCGGCATTCAGCGTCACTCCAGAGCATCAGGGTAAACTCCCCGGAGCTGTCATGTTGTTGTATAAGCTGTGAGAATCTGTCACGGCTGGAAGCTGATCCGACTGATTGTGATGCGTTTTGTGCCGCTACAAGTATAACAGACATGCATGCAGGGAAAACGCTCTGAGACTGCAGGAATCCGCTGGATGTTTGGATGAATCCTGAATTCAAACATTTTAAGAATTTCAATTAAACTCAATAATTTGTATTTATTTATTTTTTTACTATGTGGAGTTTCTTTCTTTTCTCTTCTTCTCTCCAAATGTTTTGAAACTAAAGAACATGACTGAATTTTTGCTTTTAGTCACTCCCTGCTGCCCTCACATGAGCTGCATGTGAGAAAGCAGCTGTCCAGATCAGACTGGAGGAGTTTCTGTGTAGATTTGATCCCATGAGCTTCCCGGTTCTGTTTGTGATGTGCAAGAAAGATTTATGGTAAATTAGAAGTGCTGTTTCTTACTTACAGCTGCTGGTGTGAAAATAGGTGTGAAAATAGAACAGCAATGAAGGCTAACAGGCTTTTAGAGCAAAGATATCACTTAAAATTAGGCCAATACTGATTTTTATCTTTTTATAACTGACGCTGTCCGGAGTTATAAATTGCTATGTATTGCTTTTTCTGTCATATATTCTTACGTTCTGCTCAGGTACCAACACTTTCCTAAAGTGAGCAGATAGCTTATTAGTACATAGTGCCTTGTTAAAGTACGCATAACTGTTAAACATTTTCACATTTTGCCAAGCTACAACCAATTTCAATAGGTTTTAGTCATACATCGACATAATGTGCAGCATTTTGAAGTGGAAGGAAATTTGTTGTAGTTTAATTTTTTTATATTAAATCAAATTCTGAAAAATCGTATACTACTAAACAAAATCCACAGCAATCGGCTTCATTCAGAAATTCTTTTTTGGGAACTACAGCCCACAGGTTGGATCTATAAATCCAGCTGTTCTTTGAAAGCCTCCGAGTTTGTAGGAGAACGTTAGACATTTCTGACTATCTCTGTAAGAAACACAAGAAACGGGAAGGATTACCCTCCTGCAAAACTCTGTAAAATAAAAACTGACATCACCACGAAAGCTCCCAACAGCTTTAAATATATAATCCATACAGTTGATGTTCACATGTGCCCTCCATCCAGATTGCTGGAGCTTTTTGCAAAGAGTTATAAAAAAATTGTCAGTCTTGATTTTTCTGTACAAGACAAAATATGGACCCAAGGGGACTGAACTGAAATGCACTCTACATTTCTCTGGAAGTTATATTTTAAAGAAAAATATCTTCTCTTTTATAATTTTCTTCCACTTCACATATTCTTGACTTTATTGCTGGTTGTTTGTATAGAAGTGGTGGAATTTATTGCTATAAAAATATAAAAAAATATATATATTTTTTTTCCTCAAGGCACTTTACATCTCAAAGCTTTTTTTTTTTTTGTTTCAGTCAGCTTTGTGTAGAAAAAGGAGTTTGATTTTTAAGCAGTGTGGTTTTTAAAGATTCAGTTCCGTAAAAGATTTCTGGGGTTTGGTTGAGTGAGTGTCCCATAATCAGAATGTAAAATGTAATTGTAGTCATCTCTGCTCCACCCCTCTTTCTTTTACAGCTGTGTAATCTGAGGCTGGCCAGCCTGTTGCTGAGTTTCCCACAAGATGTGAAGGTGTACAGATGACACTTTGCTTTAGTTGGTGTTCATATTTCTTGAGTGTCACATCTAGGCAGGTTTTCTTCTTTTTGTTTAAAGATTTTACTTCTCTCCTGCAGTTGGAGCATAATTGTAGAGTTCATTAAAAAGTGGTTTCTGATCAGATTTTTTTCTATTTATAATTTCTTGTTCATTTAAAATACACAATATAGATCTTAAAGTTTTGAAAACGTTCTGAACAATGAGATTTTATTTGTTTTGTATGAAATTAATCTGTTTATTAGAAACATAATCATGATCTGAGTTGTTTGTACCATTTTTAGCTAAACTCGTTCTTGATGACTAGCTCAGGTAGCTGTTGGTAGATTTTGTCTTTTTTTTTCTGGTCATGATTTTAAGCTTTTTCTTCATCTGCTGTTGATGAAAAGGGCGCCCCCTTTTGAATAGTAGTTGTATTGTCTGTTGGCGTACAGTCACTGGATCCAGGCAGGATGCAACCATCTTTAAAGGGTCCTGGTGGACAACATTTGAAAGGTATGAATTAAACTGTTTTTAGGGCAATTTTCTGTTATACTCATGTACTACTGACAGGAAATATGACTCTCTGACTCCAATAAATGTGTTCTACCAGTTGAGGGTCATTGACATCTATTATGGTTGAGTCTGGGGTTAAAAGCTGTCATATCAGGGTCCCCCGAATCACTGGGGATCAGATCTACAATCGATAAAAATAAGATGTAATACAAAATTTAGATGGCTTTGTACATTTATTTCAAATTCTACATACTAATTTATCATTTTAATGAACATTTAACTATAATTCTGAATGCTGAACTGCAAAGGGAAATACATATACACAGAGGTTTAAATATTAGTCTAAAAACTGAGTTGTCATTCATACGAAGCTGTATGAATGAAACTGCAACATGTTGATCTGAAGTGGGGCCAGGTTGACCCATGAACTAGACGGCACAAAATAATTATAAAATTAATTATGATTTCAGATGGATAGAAGAAAAAGGAAAAGAGGAAATCATGTTGCATTAATGCTGTTTAGCCTGTAACTTTTCTGGTTTGCGTTCAATCCAAGAGCTGTAGAGCCTTGTGGTTTTCCTACTGGTTTTCAATATCTTGAATTCAGAGGTTCCAATACATTTGTCAGACACTCACTCCTCTTCCCTCTTTTTTCCTCCTCCTCCAGCTTCTTAGCAACCTTCCATTTCTC